ATTCCAAACTTATAGTTTAATTTAAAAACCCAATTGAAAATTAGGTCATGCTAATGTTTACAAAGTGTTTTTTCAAGATCAAAAAATGGTTTTACTTTTTGAAACAGCTTCATCTTAATCTTTAAGTTAAAAACAGAAAAACAAAAAGTAACCCGAGATCTTAGAATTCTTTGTTTATTTTAATTTTTAAAATAAATTAGGGAGAGGAGACATTAGTAAAAAATTTTCTTCAAATAGCTTCCTTTGGAAAATCTCAACAATTTAAATATTTAAAAAGTGATTAACTGCTTGCAAAGAGACTGAAAACAATATCTTAGGTATGTGTGTCCCCGAAACATACGTAATTCGGATTCAGACTTTTAAACTGTCAATACTCGAGAGACGATGCCGTTGACGTGTACCTGGCCCTAGTCCTTCGAGTTAATTCTGTCCCTGGAGACTGGTCTTGGGCGACAGAGTGGCGTCCGGGCTTCCCAGGTTGTTGGACTGACAAACTGCAGTGGTGGTGAAGTCAAGGTTCCTGACAAAATCTCATTAATCATTTTAAATTAAACCCAACCTTCCTGTCCAACCATGCCACGAAGAAAGCCATTGTTTAAAAAACAAATGAAAATTTTCTCAGTAAACGTTTGGTATCTTTCTCTTGTTGGTCTTTAATTCAGTTAGACAAAAATAAAGTAAAACAACCCACTTCTGTAAGCTTGAAAACAAAACATTTGTCCAGTTTTGATTTAACTGATTGACCAAGTGTCTTTTAAAAATAAATTTTGAATAAAAATACATGGAAACATTCTGAGAGGAAATTTTACTAGTTAAATTAGGGACACCATTTCTTTATTTTCTGAATAGTTTCATGGATTTATTTTGTTCTATCTAAAATATACAACCCTTAATAATATTTTTAAGAAGAAAAAATTTCATTATCCATAATATTTTGGTATATTTTATTCCAATCTCTTCCTTCCGTGCGTAGGCTTTTCCTTGGTTTCATGTAGTAATAATTGTAATACACTCACACACACATACACACACGTGTATATATACATAAATAGGCACACTTGGACACCCTTTTTAATATTTATTATGAGTGTTTTCCCATTTTATTCATAAACATCATGGCTTCATAGCAGTACATCATGAGGACGTATCTTGGTCTACTTGAACAATGCCTCGCACAGTGTCTGGTACATAGTGTGCACTCAAATATTTGTTGATTATTTGTTAGAACAGTCATAAGATTGGGGCATTTCAGTTCTTTTCCACCTTTTTTTAAAAAATTAAAAACAACAACATGATTAAGGATGTAATAAGATCTATTCCTTATTTCGGATTATTTTGTTAGGATGAGTTCCCAGAAGCGGACACATTCACTTAAGAATGCTTGATAAGAAACTGTAGGCAGTTATATTATTAATAGTGTTATTTAAGAAAAAATTCACTGTAAATATAGGGAAACAAACTTCAATTAGAATAAGTAGGTTGTTACTTTCAATATTAAAACGTCTGAATAAGGGTACTTTCCTTGAGCACCGTATTAATAACATTGTAAAAAATTTAAAAGGCTAACTTAGAGAAATAACAAAATCATGACAAACTCTTGAAGAAAAAAAAAGATTATCTTAAAGTAGCTGAGCTTCATCCAGATATGTAAAATTAGAAGTGCCGGAGAGATGAATTTATATCTAGAATAATGCGTAAGTTGAATCTGTCTTAATTTATACTTTGGTCTGGACTCATTTGTTAAAAAATGGAAATAGTAAAGCCATCTTTCTATATGCTGATATAAAAAGGAACCAGAGCTAAAATAACTCAGATTTACTGAGAAACGGTTGTGGGGCCAAGATCTGATAGGAACTGAGAAACGTACAAGAGGAATACTATTTCTACCTCCAAGAATTGAGAAAGTTGCCCTAAAGGGGAAAGAACCTGAGAGGACTTTGAAGGATGAGTAACATTTCAACAGGGAAATGTTAAGAAATGTTAAGGAAGGGATTAAGAGTATTCCAGAAGGAAAAAAAGAGCAAATGAATGGAAAGGTGAAAATACAGGGTGCATCTAGAAAATAGTGTGACTAGAGAGTTAATTTTCACAGCATGTATTCAGGAAAAATCCTGTTGTTATAAATTTGGAGGGCTCTAAAAGTTTTAAGCAATTTTCTCCTTCCTTCCTTCTCCTCCCTCCCTCCCTTCATTTTAAAATACAATCAATATCTCAGAAAACTAACTGGAGGCTGTATAGGAAGGACTCACTAGCAGCACCCAGTTGGTGTGTTCTTGTTCTGGGCTTGAAACAGCACAGCCCTCAGGGGAAAGGAAGGTGCAGGCAGGCCTAAATTGCAAGGAACCCTAAGTACTCTTGTGAGTTTCAGCAGAGCTCAGATTTCACATTGGGCCTGAAGGTACTTGGCTAGAGACAATGTCAAAGCCATTAGCATTACTGTAATTTTATGGCCTCCAAAGAACTCAGTCCTAAGTAGGTAAGTTAGACTCAGAAAGGCTTGAGCACAGCAGACGGAAACACTAAGTTTACTTGGGCTGCAGCAAATGCGAGCTCAGCATTCTTCTGGAAACTCTCCTTTGGCTCTGGGGATGCCATTCTTCTCTGATTTTAGAATTTTGATGAACCTTCTTTTTATATCTTCTATTTCTCTACCAAAACCTAAAATACTATGCTTCCCAGCTATTTCTTTTACTCCCCTAGAGGAGTCTACTGTTCCCATGCTTCAATCTGCATAATAAACTTCAACATGATCCCCAAACTTACATATCCAGCCTTGACTTTTTTTTTTTGAACTCTATTCTCCAGCTCTCAATGAATATTCTATTGACAATCTAAAATTAAAAATATCCAAAACTGGATTATCAATTCCTTTTCATTCCATTGGCTGCCTCTTCTACTAGCTATCTTTGATAACAAGACCACCATCCTCTTAAATCCACAGTGTTTTTTAAAATTCAAGCCTCCTCTAAACCTTCAGCTTCTTCTCTAGTTCAGCCTTTACAATAAGCCCTGGCAGGCTGGGAGCAGTCTTTGATCTTAATAAGATCACATTCTGATGAAAGAGCTGGACATGTAGAAAGTTACAGTACAGTTATAATAAAGATACGTATAAAGTGCCATGGTTCACAGAAGCAGCGCAGTTAACACTCCTGGTACGTATGACAGATAGTCTTTGTGAGCTGTGATGAAGAAATTACACGGAGGCAGGTCTTAGATGATGAGTAGGGGAACGAACTTTAGACACCAAACAGAGAGCAGGATGTTACAGAAAGACAGACAGACCAGATTGCATTGAGGGATGTTGTTAAGAGATGAGGGTTTAAAGATACGATGGGGCCAGACTGTAAAGATTCTCGTACACCCTGCTAAGGAGGCTGTATCTCATTTTGTAGGCAGGAAGGAGACTTCAGAAGACTTGAAAACAGATAAGTGTCATCAGGAGATTTGTTTTAGAAGATAAATCTGATGTACCTGAAAGAAGATCCAGTAGTTTCCAACTTGGGGTGTGTCTTAGGCTAGTTTCTCTAGAGAAGCAAAACCAGTGAAGCGTAGAGAGATTTGTAACAAGGAAATGGCTCGTGGTGTAGGGGCTGGAAAGTCTCAAGTCCTTGGGTCAGGCTGGAGGCTTCTGACTCACGTAGCTGCAGGAGCTGGTGAACCCAAGATCGGCAGGTCAGACAGCAGGCCTCTGGCTCACAGGCTGCTGAGCTTGATGAATCCTAAGATTGCCAGGTAAGCTGCTAGCTCAATTCCCAAAAACTGGAGGTCAGAATTATTTTGTCACAGAATTCAAAATTATGCACATATGAAAATTATTTAAATATATGCTTTAGAATATTAGAAACTTTATTATCAGTCTAAAAATCCCTGTCAGACTTTATTGTCAGTCTAAAAGAAGGAAATCATGCTTGGTAAAGTAGAGGGCCAGCGAAAAACAGGAAGACCTTCACCTAGATGGACTGACCCAGTGGCTGTAACAATGGGCTCAAGCATAGCAGTGATTGTGAGGATGGCACAGGACCAGGCAGTTCTGTTGCACATGGGGTCACTAGGAGTCAGAACTGACTCGATGGCACTTAACAAACAACAAAAACAAAAGTCCCTTTAACATTCAAAAATTGTTTGGTTTCCTTATGTTTTATCCCTGAAAAACTTGTACTACATCATTCCGGTTGTAATATTACTGACCACATTGACTTAGGGCCAAATCTGGAAGGAAGCCTCTGGTACAGGGTTTCTGTATTCCCCAGTCCCCTCCCCATAACCAGCAGCTATGCCCATAACATAGTGTATAATTCCAAAGCTTATTTTTTTACTTAGAGATACTTTCAGGGAATTTCTGAATCGTGATATAAATACATTGCTCTCTATCATTCTAATGCGTTGCATTTTAATTATTAAATAGTTGTTAGTGAAGATATACTTGATACATTTACTCTTCATTCAGCAGTATTTTTCCTCTCATTACCAATCACATGACATCTGTGAAGGCAGAGCCCGTGTCTAGGCATCACTGGTACCTAGCACAGTGCTTAACACATGGTAGGTCCTTCACAGATATTTACTGAATGAATGAATGCCAAATGCTTACCGTAATTCACAATATCCCTTTCCCTACTGATTCTGTCCAGAGATCATCAAGATTAGGAGAATAGTGAAGTTTGACACGTTACTTCAGATACAAGTAAGAAAAGATTCACTAGGGCTCTGATAACATTTTGTTCTTATGTATACAAATTTTACATTTTAACATATTTTGCTATCCTAAATGGTTTAAAGGACTTATCAAGAGTTCAGTAAATCAGAAGATTTAAGAATAAAAAGTCAAATGATATAAAACTAAGTGCTAGTTTGCATAGTAATATAGTAACAAACGAATACCCTTTTCAAAGTTCAAAGGAAAAGGAAGTGGGTACTGGAGTCTATCTGAAGTCAGATCCAACTTTTACACAGATAGTAATAATTTCAGATCAGAATCAAATAAATTCAGAAGTCAGTTTGAGAGAAAAGGAAAAACTTTAGTTAAAATCTTTACAATAAAATAATTATGATTATAAATCTCTTTAGTTAAATATGTACACATTACTTGGTATTTTAAAAAAGAATGAACTGGGTATAATTTTTCAGGCAAATGTAATGCACAAATACACCATCTTTTAGAGTACAGTGTCAGTTTTACATTCTTAAATAGCTGTGTCAGACAATGGCTCTGCTTTTTGCAAAACATGATGAGCAAAATCAAGAACAATTCTGTAAAATTCTTTAGTTCCCCAAGGAAATTACTAAAAAAGAAATTAGTCAAAGGACAAAAAAGGTTGTACACTCAAGCTTGATTGTATACAGAGGCTAGAATGACCAGAACTAATGTAACTCCCATATCTGCTAAATAAGTTCTCAGGCAGTTTTCGTTTGAAGGTAAAAGCTGAAGTCCTAGCAACTGTGCTTTTATGCAGCCACGTGGCCAATCAGGTAGATGTTGTCATAAAGGTGCCCTACAAAATCTTCACTAATGTTCTGAGCAGCACGGCGGGTGTTTCGAATAAATTCTCTTTTTGACATTTTATTCTTCACATGAGGGCTAGTGAGGTCAATGGAAAGGAGAATCAAAGAGTAGCAGAGTACATAGACTGCATCTAGAAGGAAAGAGAAACACTTTGAATTATTAGCTTGTTCAAAAAGTACAGTCCCAGTGGGGTTATCTAAAGCAAAAATGTTCATAATTTCAAGAGCTCAAGGTGAGAGCATAACTGAGCAGGGGGTGACCACCCCATCCAGTTAGCCTGGGACTTTCCCGGCACTAGCATCCAAAGCGCTGTGTCCTGAGAAACTCCTCAGTTCTGGGCACACAGCGGGGCATGGCCATCCTAACTGAACACAGATTCAGTTATATCCAGAATTATGAAATTCAGCAAACACCTTCTTCAATTAAAAAGAAGAAACTAAAAAAAACTTTAGGAGTTTATATGAAAACTCATTCTATATTTAAAAATTTCAGAATTGGCTTTGTTCTCATCTTTCCTTTTAAATGTGATATTCCATTCAACTATCCATAAAATACATTTGTACTGTCACTACATTTATCTTCCCATTCTAAAAAAAATAAGTCACATATTTATTTACATAGAATACTTATAGAAAAAACTAATTTAATTTGAAAGCATTTTTAATAAGAAGATATTAACTTGGTACTAGGAAATTAAATATAAACAATTTATAAGATTATTGAATTAATCTCACTGAAGAAATGCATTTTAAAGGTCTACAGTATTTACATACTTATTTCAAAAGTAAATCTTTGGGGAAAAGATTGCTATTATCTCAGTACCATGCATCAAAATAATTTTCTTCTTTATATAGTCTCAGGGTAATTGTGGATCTTTAATATCAAAATCATATCAAACATCATGATGCTTGCTACTACTTCCCATAATTACTTGGTATTTGGCTACCACTATGGTGTTTACATCTGGAATCCTTAGTCTTAAAAAAGCTAAGTTAAAACATTATGCCTTGTAAAACATGGTCAACATATTTTGTAATCTCTGCTTAATAAGACAAGCACAATAAAATTTTTCAGATGAAGAGATAAGTCAACTTACTTCAAATGAAAAATATGTAGGAGACTCAGGCTACACACATACACACACACACATACACACACAAACACACACACACACACACATAATGAAAACTACTGGCATCAAAAACAAATTTTAGTAGAAAAATACTAGGTGTTACCTACGTAGTATGTGGATGATTAAAAGCTTTAAAAATATTTTTTCAAGTTTTCAATTAGACTAGTAAAAATATCCAAAGTTCAAAAGGAATAATTCTAAAGGATTTACGTAGCTAAGTTTAATTTTATACCTAAAACAGTATATTTACTATCTAAAAAAACAATACCTAAGAAAACTAAGGTATTCCTTCTAAGCTCACATACACGATGTATTCTGCAGAATCACTGCTACACCAGGAAAACAAGTATTAGTAATTATCAGATGTATTCTTGTCCATGGTGAGAAAAATGTCTCCTACTCTACTGTTTTTACCTGAAGGTAGAGCAGAATGGAAGTATTTTACTCTGTACTTTCTTACCAGGACTAAGGCCAAGTTCTCGCATTAAATCAGGGTTACAAGCACAGAACCTATGTGAGAACTTCGTTATAAGAGTTTCAAGATACTCCCCACGCTCTTCAGGGGCATGGATATGACGAAAAAATTCTCTCAGTGCATTTGGCAAGAACTGGTTTCTAAAATTATGCAGTGTCACAAGGTCATCCAAGACATCTCTCCTGGTAGAAAGGCAAAAAGACATGGCCTTAGTTAACATTTTTCTATTAAAAAAAAAAGTCTTAAAAATAATAAATTATTATTTTTAAATGAATACACTTTATTACTGATCACCAGATCAGCTAATCCTGTAATGGAGATGTAATTCTTAAAATTAAAAAAAAAATCTAAATATGATCATTTAAGAAATTAAAATACTTTAAAATCCTTCATGAATAGATTATAACAAAACAAAAGAAGGTAAAGCTAATAATTATAAAATAAACAAAGGCATCTTGCATCTTCAAGTGTTTTCTTGGTTAAATCCACATAGCAACAGAATTCTTTAATTACGAAAAATGAGATTCTCCGTCTTCCACGTCATCCACATTACCCAAGGTAGTAACTGTCTGTCTTTTATGTCAACATATGCGGTGCCCACCCATCTGTCAGTTTCTCGTACTGTGGTGGCTTGTGTGTTGCCGTCATGATGGAAACTCTGCCACTGGTATTTCAAATGCCACGAGGGTCACCCAAAGTGGACAGGTTTCAGCTGAGCTTCCAGACTAAGACTAGGAAGAAGGACCTGGCTATCTACTTCTAAAAAAACTGGCCAGTGAAAATCTGAGGAATAGCAGCGGAACATTGTCTGATATAGCGCTGGAAGATAAGCTGGTCAGGTTGGAAGGCACTCAAAATACAACTGGGAAAGAGCTGCCTCCTCAAGTTAGAGGAGACCTTAATGATGTGGTTGGAATAAAGCTTTTCAGACCTTCATTTGGTGATGTGGCACAACTCAAAATGAGAAGAAACAGCCGCAAACATCCATTAATAATCAGAATGTGGAATGTACGAAGTATGAATCTAGGAAAACTGGAAGTTGTCAAAAATGAAATGGAACACTTGAAGACAGATATCCTGGGCATTAGTGAGCTGAAATGGACTGGTATTGGCCATTCTGAATTGGACAATCACATGGTCTACTAGGGTAGGAATGACCAATGGAAGAGAAATGACGTCACATTCATCGTCAAAAAGAACATTTCAAGATCTATCCTGAAGTATACTGCTGTCAGTGATAGGATATCCATACGCCCACAAGGAAGACCAGTTAATATGACTATTATTCAAATTTACGCACCAACCACTAATACCAAAGATGAAGAAACTGAAGATATCTATCAACTTCTGCAATCTGAAATTGATCAAACATGCAATCAAGATGCACTAATAATTACTGGTGATTGGAATGTAAAAGTTGGAAACAAAGAAGACAGATCGCAGTTGGAAAATACGGCCTTGGTGACAGAAACGACGCTGGAGATCACATGATAGAATTTTGCAAGACCAACGACTTATTCATTGCAAATACCTTTTTTCAACAACATAAACGGTGACTATACATGTGGACCTCACCAGATGGAATCAAATCGACTACTTCTGTGGAAAGAGATGATGGAGAAGTTCAGTATCATCAGTCAGAACAAGGCCAGGCGTTGACTGCAGCACCGACAATCAATTGCTCACATGCAAGTTCAAGGTGAAGCTAAAGAAAATTAAAACTTGTCCGCAAAAGCCAAAGTGTGACCTTGAGTATACCACCTGAATTTAGAGAACATCTCAAGAATGGATCTGACACATTGAACACTAAGGACCGAAGACCAGATGAGTTCTGGGATGACATCAAAGACATCATAAATGAAAAAGCAAAAGGTCATTAAAAAGATAAGAAAGAAAGAAAAGACCAAAATGGATATCAGAAGAGACTCTGAAAGTTGCTTCTGAATGTAGAGCAGCTAAGGTGAATGGAAGAAATGATGAAATATAAGAGCCGAAAAGAAAATTTCAAAGGGCAGCCCGAGAAGACAAAGTATTATAATGAAATGTACAAAGACCTGGAGTTAGAAAACCAAAAGGAAAGAACATGTGGCATTTCTCAAGCTGAGAGAACCAAAGAAAAAATTCAAGCTCGACTTGCAATACTGAAGGAGTCTATGGGCAAACTATTGAACAATGCAGGAAGCATCAAAAGATGGAGGGAACACACAGAGTCAGGGTAGCAAAAAGAACTGGTCGACGCTCAACCATTTCAGGCAGTAGCATATGATCAAGAACCAATGGTATTGAAGGAAGAAGTCCAAGGCTGCACTGAAGGCATTGACGAAAAACAAGTCTCCAGGAATCGATGGAATACCAACCAAGATATTTCAACAAACAGATGCAACTCTGTAACTGCTCACTCGTCTATGCCAAGAAATTTGGAAGATACCTGGTCAACCGACTGGAAGACATCCACTCCACGTTTATGCCCATTCCAAAGAATGCGGAAATTATCAAACAATATCATTAATATCACAAGAAAGTAAAATTTTGCTGAAGATAATTTAAAAAACGGTTGCAGCAGTATATCAACAGGGAAATGCCAGAAATTCAAGCCTGATTCAGAAGAGGACGTGGAATGAGGGATATCATTGCTGATGTCAGATGGATCCTGGCTGAAAGCAGAGAATACCATAAAGATATTTACCTATGTTTTAGTGACTACGTAAAGGCATTCGACTGTGTGGATCATACCAAATTATGTGTGACACTGTGAAGAATGGGAGTTCCAGAACACTTAACCGTGCTCGTGCAGAACTCGTACAGAGACAAAGAGGCAGTTGTTCCAACAGAACGAGGAGATATTGCATGGTTTAAAATCAGGAAAGGTGTGTGTCAAGGTTGTATCCTTTCACTATATTTATTCCATCTGTATCCTGAGCATATAATCTGAGAAACTGGACTATATGAAGAAGAACGCAGGATGCAGATGACACAACTTTGCTTGCTGAAAACGAAGAGGACTTAAAGCACTTACTGATGACGATTAAGGACTGCAGCCTTCAGAAGGAATTACACCTCAGCATAAAGAAAATAAACATTCTCACAACTGAACCAATAAGCAATATCATGATAAATGGACAAAAGATTGAAGTTGTCAAGGATTTCATTTTACTTGGATCCACAATCAATGCCCATGGAAGCAGCAGTCAAGAAATCAAATGATGTATTGAATCAGGCAAATCTGGTGCAAAAGACCTCTTTAGTGTGTTAAAAAGCAAAGATGTCACTTTGAGGACTAAGGTGGACCTGATCCAAGCCACTGTATTTTCAGTTGCCTCATATGCATGCAAAAGCTGGACAATGCATAAGGAAGACTCACGAAGAATTGATGAATTTGAATTATGGTGCTGGCGAAGAATATGGACTATACCATGGACTGCCAGAAGAATGAACAAATTTGTCTTGGAAGAAGTACAGCCAGAACACTCCTTAGAAACAAGAATGGCTACACTTCATCTTACGTAGTTTGGACATGTTACCAGGAGAGACCTGTCCCTGGAGAAGGACATCATGCTTGGTAAAGCGAGGGTCAGTGAAAAAGAGGAAGACACTCAACGAGATGGACTGGCACAGTGGCTACAACAATGGGCTCAAGCATAATGATTGTGAGGATGATGCAGGACTGGGCGGTGTTTCGTTCAGTTGTACAAAGGATCGTTATGAGTTGGTACTGACTCGGTGGCATCTAACAACAACTGCTATCTAAATACTTCCATTTTATGGTTCGTTATAATGAAAAAGTGAGGGCTGCAGCTTCCAGAAAAATATTTGGTTTTGGTTTGCTATTACAAAGATGATGGTTTTCCATTTCTTTGTTAGGTGTGCAGGTTTAGCTTTTTTTTTTTTTTAACTTTTACAATAGCAACTTTCTCATCAGCAAATTAAAGCTCATAACAGAAATGATGTGGAAGATATAGAAATCTTTTTATTTCTTTATTCAATTTTACAATGTA